GCGTGTTTTTTTGCTCCACGTTTTTGCGCTCGTATGATGCACAATGAGCTCTCCAGCAGAGTGGGGTAGCTCCATAGCATCGGTTACGAGGAAAAGTGGTAAGCACGATTTCGAGTGTGTCGCACATCCAACCGTGCGGGCCCCTTCTAATTGCATGACACTCTTGTTATTCAGCGTTTCCACATCGTGGTAGCCAGAGGCGTGACGTGCTTCGCGATATATTGATTGGTCTGCCGTTTAGACCTATGGGAAAGGATCGATAGGCAGAGTGTTCGATACGAACACCTGATCAATCGATTTTTACCACACCTTCAAATGGGGCAATGTCGATAATCGACATTCGTGCCACGCTACTTTCCACATCGTGGCAGCTATATAAGCCCCCGCGTGCGAATTTTCCGCCACCAGTGAGCCTGTGAAAATTGAGCCTGTGAAAATCTGCGAAAACTGGAAATGGCCGCTTTCGTGAAAGCGACTCTTTGCCTTATCGTGCCATTGCTTCTTCTGCAGGTAAGGCTCTTAGCTATCAATGGCAATCGTATTCAGTTTTAGAAATTAGATTAGAGAAAAACAAATTCACCGTAAATTCTCTGACTTCGAAAATATACTTTTTTGACGTCTCACGGCGCTACGACCCCCCTAGTTATCCCCTAATTATTGATTTTAATAGACAAAGCTATAGACAAAGAAGACAATGAATAGATTATTTTTTTTGAAACGGTTGTTTTTCATAGAATACGAGAAAAACGATGAACTAAATAAATGGTCCCTCGTGAGTTACCGTTAATAAGTTGCTTTACCCGTATCTCCTTTGTCCATTCCAACCACCTGCCTCCACCAATAAGATCGCTTCATTTTCCTGCGTCCTCTATGTCTATTAATTTCAATAATCAGCCCGTTTTTTCTATCAAATCACAATCGTTGGGAATCTCGCGTGTCAGAATTTTTAATTCAAACCTAACCTTCTACTCTTTCTTCTGGCTGCTGTATATCCTTCCCAGCGTGTGGATTCCAAGGGGCTACCACCCATTGTGTATGTGTAAATTTGCGTTTGTTTTTCCATCAAACTTTGGTCAGGTTAATAATGAACTAGACCGGTGGGATTAGCTGTCAGTATTTGCTGACAGGAGAAATGTACATCAGGCGATAACTGAATTGAACATATGTTTAAAATAAATCACTAAATAATATACGTAACCTTAATCAATGTTTATTTCCTACGCTGTGAGTCGGTTACGAGTACTTCTTACTCGCTTGATATATCGTTTGAACCTGACCGATTCTGGATTTATCTTCACAGGCTGATACTCTATCAACCGCAACCTGTAATACACGAGCACAATCCTATTCTAGGATGCCTTGAATTCATCTAAGATAGAATACGTGTAGTTAACATTGCCCCTTCCAATGTTCAGGAATGCACCCCGCAGTGCACCTAAGTCGTGTTAAATCTATCCTAAATCACCTTTACTTCCTTCAGGATGTGATACCCGTGCGCAGTTAACATTGTCCCTTCCAATGTTCAGGAATACTGACATGCTAAGGAAAAACGCTTCGAATGAAGCTTTAGACGTTGCCAAATCACCTTTGATGAAACAACAATTTTCGAAGAAACTTGCGGGTACTTTCATTCCAATTTCTCAGAAAATTTTGTTTGGAATTCAATCCAAAATATTTGAAATTCTCAGGGGAAAATATGTTTAACTTTCTTCAAAAATGAGTTTTTCATCGAGGGAAATGTGGCAACGTTTGAATGTTCATGCGGTGTTCTAATCCTAGCACCATAAAATGTACCTTGCAGTACATCAGATTTCTGCCGTGATAGCGAAGAGAGCCGTAACTGCAAAAATGAAGTTCTGAGAAAACGGGCTCAGAAGCTTGTGACCGGAACATTTTATTGAAAGAAGCCTCCGATCTTTGTCAAATTGCCACTATTCGTCCGGAAGACGCCTAGAAATCATTTGAAGGATTGAAACTCGACCGATTTTATTTTAAAGTACATGAAAAAGGTAAAATTCAGTTTCGTGTTAGGTTATTGTTAGGCAAGACAGCCGTAAGTGCTATCTTCTGCATGCTTTCGCGGTTGCGTTTTGGACGCACAACAAAAACATTTTCTGGTTAGAAATCGGCAGAAGAGGGCGGCACTTTACTGGAAAGCACTGTTTTCATCGGCTCACATGCATCTACGGCTGTCTTGAAAAAACTATAGTCATTTTTTGTGCACTTACGGCTTTCTCATACGTCTCGTTTTCATTAAATTAGGATGAATTTTGCTGTTTTCGCTGTCTCAGTAATTTCATCTAAAAGAGTTTAGACGAATTTTGAAGAAAACTCGATTTCGAAAATTTTGCACTTACGGCTCTCTTCGCTATATCACGGCAGATTTGTGTTAATACTTTCCTAATCCGCCTTTACTTCCTTCGAGATTTGATACTCGCAGATAATATTGCTCCTTCAAATGTTGCGGAATGCACCTCGCAGTACACCTCACTCCAGTCCGCTTTTACTTCCATGAGGATGTGATACTCGCAGTTAATATTGCCCCTTCGAATGTTGAGGAATGAACCCCGCAGTACGCTTTAAACTCTAGTCAATCCTTTCGTACTCCACCTCTACGTCCTTTAGAGGCTTCTATACCCGCAGTTAGCATTGCCCCTTCGAATGTTGAGGAATGCATCCCTCAGTACTCTTGACTCATGTTAACTCTTTGAATTACCTTTTTTTCCCCCTTCGCTAAGCAGCTGCAGACTGTTCGTTGCGATGAAGATGACGAGGGAGGCGTAGAGGGAGCGGGGGAGGATGATGAGGCGGGGGAAAAGCATGAATCGGATGGACCGAGTAGATCCGAGCCGTTGAGTTGGGACGATCTCCAGTACACCAGACTCCAGGAGATAAACACCGTTGCCAAGAAGATCACCGAAACTTTCAACCCCGATTCGTGCCCCCTCGCAGCCGCCGAAGCCAAAATCAAACCGCTCAGAAGTGCCGCCCAAGGTATAATTTTAACGCCTCTCTATAATATTTTAAGACTTAGAAGTGTGAAGGGCCTCAGCAGCCTGATTGTTGAAATTGAGAGGACACAATGTCGTCGCTTTTTCGTGTCCTTCGACCGTTTAACCCGTCCGCGGTATTCAACAATCGCAATTTGCTAAAGTTGGCGTGTCAGTCCGACAATATTGTCGCCCGTGCTTTGTAGATAGGTTTTAACAATCAGGCTGCTGGACAAGGTGTATGAAATGGACGTATTTCTGCCAGAGACAGGTGGAAAAGGAGAGGTGTGCTTGTTAGTCAAGTGCTGTCAGAATGAATGGGATTTACAAAGCGCCAGTGACGTCAGCGGCGTCAAAAAGAGCCTGAGTTTGTCTGCAGTTAGTAAAATAGTCAGAATTTCAGTCTAAGTAAGAATATTTGACTCTTTGCCAAGGCGCTTAACCAAATGCCTAATTTGACTATTTGCCTTCGACAGATATAAAGTTTAGGAATACCCTGCGCTCGTTATTTTTCAAAAGAACATTGCTTGCACGTTCTTGATACTCTATCTTAGCTTTTATCGTGTGTACTGTTCGCAGTGGACAATGTCGTGAACAAAGCTCTGGAAGAGGTGAGCGGCGGTTGCTTGAAGAAGAAGACGAAGGAGGTGGACGAGTTGCTATGCTCCGTGGGTCAGCGCTTCAAGCGACACCTCAAATCCGTCGTTTCACTCGCCGAACTCCTCGCCGAACACGAACGCCCCGAATTTCTTGAAATCACCAAAACTGCGCCTGTCGTCGACGATGAGAAGTTCAAAGAGGCCATCGAGAACCTGAACCCGAACAACGAGCAGAAAAACCTGCAGGTACTGACGCTTACTATTCCACTGAGAGTATACGATTTACATTTTGCAATGAGGAGCTACTATCTCCGGCTCTCCCATATAAGCAAATATCAGCATAGGGAAACCAATGGCACGTATGTTGTTTCTAAAATGGGCCAGAAATAGTGGTTCATTATTGCAATATTTAATGCGTATGGTCGAGACATGCATCGCATAGTGGAACGAGCTAGTATAAGAGGTCGGACGTGGAATTTTTGGCTAAAATTTTAAAGATGTATATTTCGCCACAAATTCAATATTATGGGGTGTTCCTGAAGGAAATTCTACGGAAAAACCAATGGAATCACTCTGAAACTTTTCTTGTTTCATGTTTTCGAAAATGTAGGCTTTAAAAGTTTCGAGATGCTGTCCGACTTCTATTGATTTGATCCCGTGTTTGTCGAACAAGAGATTATGAATTAATTTTGACTCGAGAATCATTTTTCCAGAAGCAAAGGATGTGTAAACTTGATGCGCCTAATAAATACGCGAAATAGTGACTCAGAATCCCGGGAGATGCGCAGTTGCTCAAAGTTCGCGACTTTTCCGTAAATTCAAACCGCCCCGGTTTCGCGCTCAACCGAATCACATTATCTGCCACCAATCAGGAGCTGGTTTCAACGAATTCGATATTCTAAAAACTTCTTCGTCGAAGTTGTTCGATTCCTTGTACATGGAAACAGTAAGAAAAAAGAAACTGCATCTCCAGGCTTAATATAATTAGCGTATTACTTATAACTCAAGAGCCACTTTCAAGGCGATCTCTAGCCTTCTGCGACATCTACTCTGATACAAATATTTGTGGTCTTGTGTTGCTTTTGGTTAATTAATATAGGAAGTGAAACAGATGCTAACACAAATTTTGTGTTGATTTTGGTAAAGTTTGCGGTGAATTTAGCGCAGAAAACAATGGAGAGACTGGGAAAATGTATTCCGCCGATCGCGGTATTCGCCACTCGTTTTTTTACAAAATTTCTTCAAGAAAACTAGCTGGCATTTTCTCTTGAAATAGTCGACCGAAGGTTAGGATTATTTTGCGTTTTACTTTCCGTATTAACCAAACTTTAGTGCCAAAATTCCTCTTTGTATAGCTGTCGCAGGCAAATAGCCAACTTGGAAATTTTATCAAATGCCTTGGCAGATTTTGACAGTTTACGAAATGTTGTACGCTCATGACGAAAATCTTGCAAGTTTTCAATATTGTGGGAAAAATAACTCATAAAATTCGTGGATTCCTCTTTTTTCTAATGATTCTCATATATTTAAAACTCAAAAACTCTGTATTTTATAACATGCTGAAAATTTTGATCTTAACGTCTGTCCAGAAGCTGAAAACCGTTTAAAATACCATTGTATGATGCGATTTTTTAAAAGAATTCGTTTATTCAGCGAGGCAATGAATTACTTTTGTCTGAACTTAGGACAATACTAAGACTTTCAATCTAAATAAGAATACTCGACTATTTCCCTAGGAATTTATCAAAATGCTTGATTTTACTAGTTGCCCGCGACATAGCAGCCAAAGTCCTTTATCCTCCGAAAGTCCTTCAAGTAGTTGGCATTTCCTAATTTCTCGCCGATCTCCTCGTCGCCAACCTTTCATTGGGCAATCTCTATACTCCACCGTGCTAAGATGGAACGCCGTATGAACCTTTAGACGTTGCCAGACTACCTCTACTAAGAACCATATTTACTGGAAAAATTGCGAATATTTATTTTCGAATTTTCCAGATCATTTTGTTCGGAATTTGATCTTAAACATCCGGAAATTTCACGGAAATATATGTACGTACAATTTTTCTCAAAAATGCACGTTTTATCCAGAGAAATTTGGCAACTCTCGAATGTTCATACGGCTTTTTCCTTAGCACGACAGTACTTTGCTTGCCTTTTTTCGGGAAATTTGTATCAATCTATTCTACTTATCCTTTGCAGGTGGACCTAAAAGCCATCGCCGAACAAGTGAACGCTAAGTTCGGTTCAAACCCTCTCGGACGAAAGGAACAGGCCTACACGAAACTGGCAGCGGCCCGTGAACAGGTTGGGGGCGCCGTTAAAAACGTCATGGATGGCGCCAACGTGGCGTTGAACTCCTTCTTTGACGCCATGATCGGAGTCAAGAACGTCCAGCGAGAACTCAAGAGCACCCAAGAATACCCCAAGGACATCGCCGAAGAAGAGGCTCGCATCAAGAAAGCCCTCGCCGTCTACAAGGCTCTCGGTTGCTCCAAGGTTAACGACGCCAAGGATGACGACGATGATGATGCTAGTGCTCGCCGCTGAAAGTTTTTGAACGTGATTGTAGACGTGATTGAAACGTGATTGTGTGAAACGCGTTTCTAGTATTAAGTAAAAATGAAATAAACGTAGCCATAACCCAGCAAACATTTTAAGTATGTATGAAAAACGGTGGCCAGGCGTGAATGATCGATAATCTTTATCTCCACATTTGAAGGGTTGCCACAGTCAGGAAATACCGGGAAATGTCAGGGAATGTTTAACAGTCAGGGAAAACCTGGAAATGTCAGGGAAAATAATGAAAGTGAAAATTTTTTAATTCGCCATTATTTATTTTCCAGAATGAATTTGACGTCTTGAACAACACATTTTGCGTTATGTCTATTTCGAATTTTGTCTTCTTAACCATCTTGCATATCTTCAATTGTCTAGGAATTTCACTCAAATGTGTCGGAATACGTAATCAGGGAAATGTCAGGGAATTTCAATTTCTAAATTTGGTGGCAACTCTGGCTGTGGTAAAGAATCGACGAATAATGTGTTAGTTGCAAACATTCAACAGAATGTTTGCATCGATAAACATATCGATGCTTTCCTGTAAAAAATGGCGGATCAATATAACGCAAAGCACACCATGCCACGGATAAAAATGTATAAAAAAAATAGTTAATACATTATAGAACAAAACAACCAAAGATGTTGACAATGATGACTCATGGATTGAAACCTGCAGATAGTAGGTATATTCATTATCCATGGCAATTAAAATGTGACTTGAAAATAAGTAAACTCAGCAGTAAATTTTCATTTTAGTAAGTAAGTAATGATTAGTAATAATATGTAGAGGAGCGTAATAAAATGTATAAGATACGATTGCAATAAGAATGTCAATTCTAGTATTCAGCATAAAAATAAAAAAATCGGAACCGTAACTTCCATAAACTAAATAAATGAAAGATGGCTACATCAGATGGCAATAGAACGAGGAAACCGATTATGTCGACATAGATGACCCATGAATTTAAACTTACAGAAAATGTATGAATCATGCACAGCAATTTTAATTTGACATGAAAATAAAATGAACTTCAGCCGAAATCTCTCGTTTCAATATGTTAATGATGATTTACCATTGCTCCTTATCATTAATTTAAGTTCTCTGTCTCTGATCCTCTAAATTTTCACTGCGGGTCCTTTAAATCAGTTTGTAAAGAGACGTGTGAGTTACGTCATAAACACCGCACGTAAAACTTTTTTTCTCCTTTTTTTTTTACCGCGGTCTCATCAATAACGTGCACACTCGTAGCAGGACCGCTCAGGACAGTGGTTTAGCGTTCTTAGCGATGTATCGATTAATCTGCCGTTTCAACCTATAGAAGAGGATCGATACAAAGGGTGTTCGCAACGAACACCTTAACAATCGATTCTTTACCACAACTTCAATAGGGACTTATCGATAGTCAATCATTCACGTTTCGCCATTGGCTGAGGGTGTTTGGAATATCCTTGAAATTATCACGGAAGGAGAAGTCAAGTGGACATATGCGTCGCGGATACTCCTTGAAAAAATTAAAAAATCCTCTTATCAACCACCTTCATTCGTAACACATTGCTATGAAAAGAAAGGAATTCCACGGCGTAAGTCCGCAATCACATATCTTGTTTGCTGTGTCTGATAATCTCGGCCTCTATGTTATTTTTTAAAGGAGAAAAAATTAGGATCATTCCTTGAAGTTTATGCAGAATTTTCTCCGCACAGAGAAGAAAAATCACGGCAGTTTTAGAGAATTGCCGTTGAGTAGTTTTCTTTTTAAAAAATAAAGCATGACAGGAAGTCTGCGACATCGCAAACCGATGTATGTGATTGCCGACTTACACCGTCGAATTGCACCCCTGAAATAGCAATCTGGCAGAAGCTGCTGTCTTGCTAAAGCTTGAAAGTCAGCCTCGTCGAGTCTGGCGCCTTGAGATTCGTGCCGGGACACTTGCAGCAACTATTCGTACCCCTGTATATCGTGTGTTGCATCTCTTCGAAATGCAGGCGTTTTTTCAGTCGTTACCGTCCTCACTAGATAAACGAACTCTTTCGAAGCTGCGAAACTCGTAGCGAAAAGAGGTGGTATATCGATGACGAAACTGCAGAAATGCGTATCTGGTTTTCCGGGGCACGGTGGATCGAGTCAATAGGAGAAGTCGCACAAAATTTGGAAACTTTGACCGCTTATAATTCCGTTTGTACAAGACTTTGAAGTTTTAAGAGTGGTTTCATTGGTTTTCTCGTGATATTTTCTTCAAGAACCACCCCTAAAAGTTTAAAATGTCACGAAATATAAACATGAAAGTTTGCAGTTTTAATGAAAAATTTCATGTCCGACGTCTCCAATTGACTCGATCTATTGTGCGGCGTTGCAGACTTCCGGTCATACTGTACTCTCCGACTTAATTAGTAGGAGAGCTTAATGGACCGCAAACCGTGCAGAAAAGCCCGGTCGCGTTGTTTCGTGTAAATCTAGTTAGGCAGCAGCCACCCGTTTTTTTTTTTTTTTTTTTTTTTTTTTTTTTTTTTTTTTTTTTTTGGGGGGGGGTCGTCATTTTTTAGGGGGAGTTTTTTAGGATTGGGCCAAGGTGGCTACCGCCACCTAGAATTTTGTGCGTCAAAAACTACTAAACATCTTTTTTTTAAATTTCAGTGATTTTTGGCAGTAGAATATTCTTTGGGATCACGGCATGATGTTGGTTTGGTCTCCATTGAAAGAATAAAATGGGATCGGAGATTTTGGAACACCGTAACCGAGATACGCATTTTTGCAGTTTTACCGTCGATCTCCTTGATGAGATCAGAGAAGAGACATTATTTACATTAAATCGGAACGGAAAATCTAGCGGTTTCCTAGCAAACGAGATGATTTGAAAATGTGTAATACTCAACGTACGTATACGCACTACGCAAAACATGCGTTAATGAGTAAAATCCAAAGACATAAAGACGGAGTGCTCGTATCTAAAAGCACGGGGAAAAAATGAAGCCTGGTTTGGCGCTGGGTGCTTGTGTGAGTGTGTAAATGAGCGCGGGAATCCATGGCGGCAAACAGAAATTTGATTTGAACTTGTCCTCTTGATTTTTCCACATTTCTTCTTTTAAACGTGTTTTAAATGCCTGAAACGATTATATTAAGAAATTTGGGACTGCGTCCTAATATAATACACCTACTTTTGCTCGGTAATAGGCAGTAATCTCAGATAAAGTCAGTTTTTCTTTTGCTCATGGTGGTTCTGCCGGTTCAAACAGGCCGTTACAGTCCTAGATGACCGTTCCTCCCAAATGAAATTAATCGGTCGACGACGGACTAAAACTAACCTAAAGTTAAAAAAATATGAGTGGGTAAGTGAATTTGGGCAAAAATCAACCTAGAATACTTTGTTTCCGCAATTTTATTTAGTTCCCGCCCTACATTTGAATTTCAAACTTGTCCCGATTTCGCCGCCAATCCTCTAGCCAATAGTAGAGGTGATTGAAAAGAAGCTTCATTTTTTGCTTTTAGCGCTCCGTCTTTATGTCTTTGGTAAAATCACATTTCTGACGTGCTCAACGTAATTTTGTCCCGATACCTTATGCTGTAACCACTCTCAGTTTGACGTACTTCTTTGGTGAAAACACCTATTCTAACAACTTCTGTACCGTGCTGAGCAAGAATGCCAGAAATCCATCAAGGTTTTCTCTCGTTTTTTGGAACTTA